ACTTGAACTCGAAAACAATAGCAAACTTCCTTTCCTCGACGTTCTCTTGTGCAGATCTCCCGACAGTGACAAACTTCTCTTCAAAGTGTATAGAAAACCTACCAACAAGGACGATCTTATACACTTTTATTCACACCAAGACACCCGCACTAAAAGAGGAGTCCTCATTGGCTTCTTCTTGAGAGCTCTTCGCATCTCCAGCCCTTGTTTTCTTGAAGAAGAATGTATTTACATAACACAAGCCTTTACACGTCTTCAGTTCCCATCTTTCTTCATCCGAGATTGCAGACTCAAGGCACAAGCTATCCTCAAAAAACCGCCCATGGAACAGCCCTCTAAGCAGTTCGTAGTGCTCCCATGTGGTGATGTTGCCACGAATACTCGCCGGGCACTTTCTATGAGTAACGCCAACGTTTCCACCATAAATACATCATCTATCAAAACCCTAACTACGAACGCAGCCCCACACCTCTAACTTCTACACAAGGCGTCTACACCATTCCCTGTGGATTCTGTCCCAAGAATTATGTAGGCGAGACAGGCAGAGATCTTGCGTTCCGTGTGAACGAGCATCGAAATGCCTGTAACAGAGATGATTTAGGTACGCCTGTGTCCTCCACAGAGACTCCACGGTGTATTTGATGAACTGGAATGAGGCACAACTCGTTCTCACCGAACCAACCTCAGACGCCGACGGTGCCTAGAAGCCTCACTAATCGCCGTCACCGACACAATAGAACGTAACACTGGAAACCACAAAATTTCAAAAACATTAGCATACACGATACTTAAGCACCACCAACCCAACAACACTGGAGTCACATGATTTCATCGTCTACCCATCCTCATCCCAACATGGCATTCTTCAGGTCACCATGCGTCTCTCACACCTCACTCTCCGCCTATATATAATGTCTTTCTACCTCTGTATGTTAGAAGTGATCAAGGTCCCAGGACCGCAACCTTTTTTTAATGAATATGTCATAGTGTTTTCTTACATGTCTTTCTAAACCAACTTGTCGGTATTTATTACCAAGGTTTATACCATATGTATGTACACACACACACACACACTCATATATATATATATATATATATATATATATATATATATATATATATATATATATATATATATAAATATCTCAGTCTGTAGTGGAAGGAAGGCGGGGTAGGGGTCGGCCTAGGAAAGGTTGGAGAGAGGGGGTAAAGGAGGTTTTGTGTGCGAGGGGCTAGGACTTCCAGCAAGCATGCATGAGCGTGTTTAATAGGAGTGAATGGAGACAAAAGTTTTTTAATACTTGACGTGCTGTTGGAGTGTGAGCAAAGTAACATTTATGAAGGGGTTCAGGGAAACCGGCAGGCCGGACTTGAGTCCTGGAGATGGTAAGTACAGTGCCTGCACTCTGAAGGAGGGGTGTTAAGGTTGCAGTTTAAAAACTGTAGTGTAAAGCACCCTTCTGGCAAGACAGTGATGGAGTGAATGATGGTGAAAGTTTTTCTTTTTCGGGCCACCCTGCCTTGGTGGGAATCGGCCAGTGTGATAATAAAAAAAAAATATCTATATATAAAGAGAGAGAGAGAGAGAGAGAGAGAGAGAGAGTAGATCCTTAGTTACTTTCCTGATAATGTCGTGTTAGAAAAATCCATGTTATGTAAACTGAAGTACTTGTGGGAAAAACAGGGTTTCATTCCTTGGATCCCCGCCCCCAAAAGCTAAACAACCTTTGTTTTAGACATCCAGATCTTACAGAAATAAAAATGATAATTTTATTTTTGTTGCTTAAGACTACAAATGCAACAGAAATAATATTATTTACCTTAAACTGTAGTTGCAGTGACTGTGAAGAGAGTGGAGATGCATGGTGTGGCCCTATAGGGTTGAGGTGAAGGTTGTTGGATGTCGGCAGATGTGCCTGGTTGAGGTTTTGGTAATAAAGTCGATTGTTGTACTGGAGTGTGCATAAATTCTGTAATGAATTTCTAGCTTCTTTTACCCTGCAGTACATTATACAGCTGATGGTAAGACATCATCAGCTGGTCTAGACCTCGCTTCAAAGCAGTGCTTCTAGATTTGCCAGGGTCTTCTTCAGTAAAATGTTTACTAGTTTATCAGCAACATGGAACTGCTCACATAACTGCTGCAATGTTAACTGTTTTTCATCATGTTCTTCTTCTGTTATCTGGCTCCCTTGTGTCTGTGCATTGAACTCTGGCAGCATTTCATCTGGACTCTTGTCTTCATCTTCTAAGAGCTCATTCATATGTTCTTCATTCATAACTTCAAAACCATCACCTGGTAATCTCCTTGCCAGCTCAACAATTTCCTGAACTTGACTCTCAAGCAAGGGAAAACCAGTGAAAGAATTAACTACAGAAGGCCATAACTTTCCCCAGCCTGCATTTAATGGTGATCGGGGAACTTCATTCCATGCAATTTTAGTATATCTGATAGCATCTGCAATGGGCTCTTTCTGTGTTCCTATTATTTCTGTTGCCCTGGAATACGAACCTCTGCTCTGCCTCCTTGCATATCATTGTAACGTATTCTATTATTTATTTACTGATTTTCCCACCAGTTTTCTTTTCCACTGAACCTCATGCGGGAAATTCCTCATACCTGTGTAGTCCCCTCTTAGTATGGCTTCTTCCATCCTACTCTCCCTGTTTCCCTCTGCACTTGTAATTTTACTATGTGTTCAAAGCTCAGGACCACATGATCACTAGCTCCAAGGGGCCTTTCTTATGTGACATCTTCAGTATCTGAACTACTCAAGGTGAATATAAGGTCCAGTCTTGCTGGTTCATCCTTTTCTCTCACTCTCTATGGCAGTGTCCCTAATGTGTTGATACATGAGATTTTGCAGTACCACCTCCATATTTCTGATCCCTAGTGTGGCTACAGGTTTTCCCAGACAGTTTCCTTGTGGATGAAGTCACACGCAACTGCTAACTTTGCCCTGCCCACGTGGGCTTTTCTGGCACCTCATCTAGTGCATCATCCATTGCTCTGTTCCTCTCATCATATTCTTGTCTTGGCATCTTGTTATTCTGTGGTGGCTTATACATCACTGCAATCACCACCTTGGGAACTCTAGTCTGAAATTTTCCTACTATGTAGCTCCTTACGTCCTCTCCGTCCCCTCCTTCCAACTCCTTAGAACTCCTCTCGTTTTTGATGAACAGTGCAGTTCCTCCACCCCTATTCCCTCGAACTTTCTTCAGGATTTGATATCCAGTTGGAATGGCATCTGTTATCATTCCGTGAGTGTTATAACGTCTGTTGATGCCTCTGATTCATTCATGTCAGTCTCACGCTTATTTGTTATCCCATCTTGGTTGGTGTACCATACCTTCGTCTTCTTTTCTAACACTGTATACTGGGGGGCTTGTGGGGGTTGGTGGATTGGGAGACCTGGCAGGGTGTTAAAGGAGTCTACTGTGTAAGGTGGGGTGGGGTCTGTCAGTGTTCGACCTCGCCTCTGGGGTCTCTTTTTTTCTCAATGAAGTTCCTAATGTGAACCTCTCAGTGAAGTTCCCAATGTTAACTTCTCAGTGAAGTTCCTAATGGTAACCTCTCAGTGAAGTTCCTAATGTTAATATCTCTGTAAAGTTCCTAATGTTAAGCTCTCAGTGACGTTCTTAGTGCTAACTTCTCAGTGAAGTTGTTAATGTTGACCTCTCAGTGTGTGTCTGTGTCTGGTTTCAATATAAAGTGACAGAGGGGATGACTGCTATCTATGTGTTGGATAATAGCCTAAAGAGTCGCTACAACATAATATATATTACAACACACATTCGTTAGTGGAGTATTATTTAAATTATATATTACATAAATTATCAATATTCTTACACATTCGCCCAAGTCGACCACGAAGAGTATGCTTCACCAGATATAACTGATGTATGACAATTACGAACTATCATAACACTTCCCATTCAATATATTCGGACACCTTTTACAATAATTTTTATGGTTTTATAATAGTGGATATAATATCAGAACGGTAATTAAATAATTCTGCTTTCATAAACCTACTTTTATACAGAAGCACAGAGAGTAACGACAATTAATTTTCTCAAGTAATCACCATTGTCGTTAAAAATCCGCGTTAATTCGTTGGAAATAAATGGTATAAAATACCGACACAATGGAAATATAAACACAGAAGACAACACTCAATACCGAAGAATCCTAGAATCATCACTTATTTCTATATCCGACAACTTCAACCAGAATAGTGGCTTCTATAACATAGCTGAACCACTTGCCAAGAAACTTCTTCGTCGCTATCCCACATAAGAACACTGTAGAAGGTCTGCTCACAAACTTGTCCAATCTCCTTTCCAAGCTACCCAAGTTTTTAGACTCTATAACCCCACTCGGTACATCATCAGATGCAACATTCTTCACCTGACCTCAGCATTCTGAACCGGACTATAAATACTCGCGTTCCTTCCACCCCAGGTAGTTCTGTTTGTGACTTGAAAAAGCCCACTGTGTGGGCGAAACGTAGTCAATAAAGGATCACATTATACTGCATTTGTGTTTATATTTCCACCGCGTTAATTCGTTCATGAAAATAGTCTTCACATCTCTATTTACTACGTCTGAGTTGCCAGATGTCACTTCTGCCCAGGACAGAGAGTACAGGGACTTTTTACCGCAACTGTACATGCACCGTTATTCTCAAAGTACACATAATATAATATATACTATCAATTACACGATGATCATGAAGGCTGCATGTCACTTTTCATCAACAATCAAGAATATTTTTAACTCCAAAATAGTGATTAGAGTAAACTCTTAGAATATTTATGCATGCTGAATGAGATTCTATATTTTGAAAATATTAATAATAGCAAAGTGAAGCACCTAACTATTATGCTTTCTCAATTATGTAGAATTTGCTGCCATACAACTGATAAATGGAAGCATTTTTGGAATTTCCTTGAAGAGATAATATATTCAGTGTCTTTGCTATTTCGCACTGAAATGCTCATATGAACATTTATTTTTGCGTCAAACAGGTACATTGTTTTAATAATGCCGAAGGTAATGTAAGCAAAACTGCACTGTTTGTACGGAAATTGATGTAGAAATAAAAACAACATTTGCTGAGCAGAAATACCTTTGGTTTGACTTGCCAGATTTGTTGAGGAAGGAGTTCCTTAGGAAGGTGTGATTTTATGGTCCTTGGTGCTGAGAGGTTATGCGAGATCTGCCATGTGTTGCCTGGAGGCAGAGGATCATCCTTCCTCATGCCAGTGGTGTCCAGGTCAGGACTTCTGAGAGATTCGAACCTGCAAATGACATTTCTTTGTACAGAAAAATACAAAATATATGATATCTGAAATGTCAGTTTACTATGTTAAGCAAGTGTAGGTTTCTCACTTTGTCTGCCTTTCCTTGTAAGGAATAAACAAACTGTCAACTTTTAATAAATTAAATTCACCAGTAAGACACAATGGCAACAGTTTGGTTTCTTTACGGAAGAAACTTTTCCCCTGTTCAAAAGATTTCTTGAGTCGAAAAATAAGGAAGACAGCATATGGAGATGTAATATACTAAAATCTATAGAAGTGAACTCACACCAAGACTGGTGTACTGACGACCTCAATTTACTTCATCACAGAGGAACTCATCAACTCAAATCTACTTTTCCTTACGTCATATTTCCTCTGTATTTCGACTGATGAAGCCAACTGAATAGGAGAAAAATTTTGCCAAGTAAGATAGGAAGTTGTTCGACATTTGTCACATTTGTCTTTCTCATCCAGCTGACAGTAATGTCTTACTTTAATATAATGATCTAATGTTTTTCAGAACATAATAATGATAAATAATAATAAAAATACTACTACTTTCAATAATAAAAATATAATAATAAAAATAAATGAGTAAAGTTTTTATTTGAATAGGATATATTATTCACAGTTTAAACAGTATCGTATATTAAAATATACAAAGGCCTCTATGAATTAGGAAACACAAAGTAGTTATATTTATTTTAAAAGTTCATATGTAACCCGATTTAGTAGAAAATGCCTCACCCTACCTCGACCTGGTAATGTAGAGTCACCTTCCATAATTACTCTCTCAACCCTGACGATTTAGTAGAAAATGCCTCACCCTACCTCGACCTGGTAATGTAGAGTCACCTTCCATAATTACTCTCTCAATCCTGACGATTTAGTAGAAAATGCCTCACCCTGCCTCGACCTGGTAATGTAGAGTCACCTTCCATAATTACTCTCTCAATCCTGACGATTTAGTAGAAAATGGCTCACCCTACCTCGACCTGGTAATGTAGAGTCACCTTCCATAATTACTCTCTCAATCCTGACGATTTAGTAGAAAATGCCTCACCCTGCCTCGACCTGGTAATGTAGAGTCACCTTCCATAATTACTCTCTCAATCCTGACGATTTAGTAGAAAATGGCTCACCCTACCTCGACCTGGTAATGTAGAGTCACCTTCCATAATTACTCTCTCAACCCTGACGATTTAGTAGAAAATGCCTCACCCTACCTCGACCTGGTAATGTAGAGTCACCTTCCGTAATTACTCTCTCAATCCTGACGATTTAGTAGAAAATGGCTCACCCTACCTCGACCTGGTAAAGTAGAGTCACCTTCCGTAATTACTCTCTCAATCCTGACGATTTAGTAGAAAATGCCTCACCCTACCTCGACCTGGTAATGTAGAGTCACCTTCCGTAATTACTCTCTCAACCCTGACGATTTAGTCATTATTAATTAAAGAAACTGGTATAAATAAACAGGTAATTGAGCAGATAGTAAGCAAATTCGGAAATTAAAGCCATTTTGTACGCTTGCCTTATTTGGCAAGAAGAGCATTACTATTTAAGCCAAAATTGCAAGTTTTACCCCTTTGGAACGACTTATATATATATATATATATATATATATATATATATATATATATATATATATATATATATATATATATATATATATATATATAATATATATATATATATATATATATGTCGTGCCGAATATGCAAAACTGGTCAATTAGCAAGAACTCATTTATAATTAAGTCCTTTCTAAAAAATTTTCTTATACGTTTAAGGATATATTGTTTTCATTAATGTTGATGTAAAAATTTATAATTTTGCACCAAAAGGAACTTAGAAAACTTACCTAACCTTATTACAACAAGCTCAATTTATTTTAGCCTAACCCAACTAAATATATTTTAGATTTGTTTACAATAATTTAATACTAAACAAACACAGTGAAATATATTTTTTTCGTTAGGCTCAGAATGATTTTGGCGAAATTATTGCATACACAAATTTTCACTTGTCCTATATGGCAAGATGAATGTTGCTATTTAAGCCAAGATCGCAAGTTCTACTTATTCGGCACGACATATATATATATATATATATATATATATATATATATATATATATATATATATATATATATATATATATATATATATATATATATATATATATGCAATAAGATCACGGTAAACAGGTGATTTCAGAATATGCAAAACAACCACTCTGAAAGAATAGAGAAATTCCAAGCGCTTTCGTGACTATTTACATTATCAAGGAACTATTGATAATGTGAGTAGTCACGAAAGCGCTTGGAATTTCTCTATTCTTTCAGAGTGGTTGTTTTGCATATAATATATATATATATATATATATATATAATATATATATATATATATATATATATATATATATATATATATATATACATACTATATATATATATATATATATATATATATATATATATATATATATATATATATATATATATATATATATATATATATATATATATATAGTCATCTATTCATCTACCTATGTATAGGTAGATAGATAGATGACTAAATATAAGATTAGCGTAGATATAGTGAAGTTAAGAAAACATGCTACTCGTGAATATACAGTGAAGACATCAGATCATTTAATAGTTTCTATAATATTTAATACACTAAATAACAAATATAGAACACAAGAGTTGTGATACTTACTCAAAGAATGGGAACCTCTTCATCAGTTCAAGATTAGCCTCTGGAGATTTTGGATCATTAATGAGACACCACACCAGCTCCTGGGTCCAAGTGGTTCCTGGAACACAATACACTGGTGGTTATCATCAAGCAACAGCTCCTGGGTCCAGGTGGCTCCTGGAACACAATACACTGGTGGTTATCATCAAGCAACAGCTCCTGGGTCCAGGTGGTTCCTGGAACACAATACACTGGTGGTTATCATCAAGCAACAGCTCCTGGGTCCAGGTGGTTCCTGGAACACAATACACTGGTGGTTATCATCAAGCTACAGCTCCTGGGTCCAGATGGCTCCTGGAACACAATACACTGGTGGTTATCAATTTACAGTTCCTGGGCCCAGATGGTTCCTGGAACACAATACACTGGCGGTTATCATCAAGCTACAGCTCATGGGCCGAGGTGGTTCCTGGAACACAATACACTGGCGGTTATCATCAAGCTACAGCTCATGGGCCGAGGTGGTTCCTGGAACACAGTACACTGGTGGTTATCATCATGTTACAGCTCCAGGGCCCAGGTGGTTCAGCTAACACAATACACTGATGATCAGCATCACGCTACAGTTCCTGGGTCCAGCTGTTTTCTGGCTATCATCAAGCTACAGTTCCTGGGACCAGGTGGTTCCTGGAACACAGTTTGCAGGTGGTTTTCATGAAGCTTCAGTTTCTTGGCCCATGTGCAACTCAAGCACAAGCTACAGCTCTTGAGCCAAGATGTTGTGAGGAACACAGTACACTGATGGTTATCATCAGGCTACAGATTTTGGTGGTTTCATGAGGCTAAAATTCCTAATGGTTCCTAGAAAACAGTACTTAGATTTATCAAGCTACAGCTCCTGGGGTCAAGTGGTTCCTAGAACACAGAACACGGATGGGTTATCATGAGGCTAAAATTCCTGATGGTTCCTAGAAAACAGTACTAAAGGTTATCAAGCTACAGCTCCTAAGCTTTAGAGATCCGTTGAATGCAATACTTTTTATTAGCAAGTTGCTATATACAATTATTGTATTTAATTTATATGTGCATGTATGTAGCTATTTGAATGAGTTGAAATAAATTAATGTATTATATGACGTAAGTAAAGAATGCTTCAGTGCTCATTATAAATTCGCTGCATAAAAAATCCAAAGGCAAAAAAAAAAAAATTTAGTAAAATGCAATGGGTTGTGAAAGAGTTACATAAAAACTGTATCAGATTATACATAAAGTGGAGCCGTGTACTCCAGGTGTTGGTGTTGAAGACCATCTAACGTAGTCATTGTTGCCATTCCTACCATACTTATCCTATATACATAATAATTATATCTTTATCTCGATGTACGATATTATTTGCTATTATCAAACGATTGTATGACAATTTCGGTTTCTTGTCCTGATATCATTTTTTTTAATTACATATAGTCTCTAACACTGAAGGTAAAATACTATTGTATGTAAACAGAATAATTATTAATAAGAGTTACAAAAATAATAATAATAATAATAATAATAATAATAATAATAATAATAGTAATAATAATAATAGGTAGGTAGTAGGCTGGTAGACAACAGCCACCATGAAGGTACTACCGTCCTGCCAAGTGAGTCAAACATAATAATAATAATAATAATAATAATAATAATAATAATAATAATAATAATAATAATAATAATGATAATAATAATAATTAGCGTCCTGCCAAGTGAGTCAAACATAAAGATGTAATTGTTTTACATGATGGTAGGATTGTTGGTGTTCTTTTATGTCTCATAAACACTCGGGATAACAGGTACTTATATCTTGCTACTTCTAATTACACTTAAGTCACACTACACATGCATGTACAAGTATATATATATATATATATATATATATATATATATATATATATATATATATATATATATAATATATAATATATATATATATATATATATATATATATACAGCCATCTGGGGTTTCTTCCATTTTCTTAATAGTTCTTGTTCTTCTTTATTTCCTCTTATCTCCATGGGGAAGTGAAATACAATTCTTCCTCTGTCAGCCATTTGTGTCACAAGATGCGACTAAAATGCCGGGAGCAAGGTGCTAGTAACACCATCTCCTTCATCTATTACTAATTTTAAAAAGAAAATTTTTCGTTTTTCTTTTTATGTCACCCTGCTTCTGTGGGATGCATCTGGTGTGATAAAAATAAAAAAAAATGGATACATTCCTAAGTAAGAAGTTGACTGAAAAAAGTGGTTGGTAGCTTATTTATTTGAACACAGAACAAGTTTCTCCTTAAACTGATGAACCGTATACTTGTGCATCGGTAGAATTTGCTTTTAATAATTTAGTATAACATTATATGCTTAAAACGACAATAAACTGGAATGATTGTTATTATTATTAGTTTGAATGTTATACAGTAAATATTTTAAGAACTAATATAGTATCAGAACAGAGTAAACTTGAAGTGGATCACAAACAACTACAAGAATGTCCTCTCCCATTTTTCATTTTTTGGACTGGATCGAAATCCCAAAAATTTATACTCCGTTCCAAAACTGAATATGTAGAAACATTACAACCTTGGATCACAATGTACTGACTGGTATTGTTCAAGCAGCAACTAATGTCTTCTTGTAAGTGTTCCATGAAACACAGTGTGTTGTTGGTCATCAAGATGTAGCTAAGAGCATATAGATACATATCCTAAACCACTAATACAAAAAATAAATAAATAAATATTTGAAGCCAGAAATATAATTTGACACAAGGAGTTATTTAGTTTATCATTTGTCTGCTCGTAACTGCCCAGTCTTTGACAACATGGCTGACGGTGAGTTCTGCCATAGATGTAAACTCACAAGCCACACTGGGTACAGTACTAACCTGACTTCGGGTAAGATACGACCCAGGTGTCATCTTGGTAAACTGGGAAGTTTTCGTATTTGGAGTACCAGTCAGTGAAGAATGAACCCATTATGACACGTTCTGGTCCCACTTTCAGGAAGCTAGGGATGTGAATGGATACGTCCTGAAGACGGTCCATGTCAGTACTGGAGACAGGCACCATCCTCACACTCCCACTGGGAAAGATACACAATGAAATACTGTTAATGCGCTTCTATGTTAACGATGGAAGAGTAAAAGTCGCAATATATTTGCTGAAATAATTTACAGCTAACCCAAAATTTGGAAAACGTTGTCGTTATTTCGGTTAGTCCTGGAACATTTTCAAGTGAATAATTGATGTACTGAACAACTGTCTGGCAGAGAATTCAGCGGAAAAACATATTTACAGATAGAAAGACTTGTAATAATGATGGAGAATTGATGACAACCTTGATAAATGCAACAACAAAATGCGTCAAATTATAACAAGTCATATACATGTCATTTGAAAGATAATGTAATATTATTTGGTGTTAAACTGACTAACTAAATGTTACTGTAACTCAAATCAGAATTAGTTCGATTAAAATTTGAAGGAAAATAGAACTTAAGTAAGGGAATTAAGTGGCAAACATATCATTTAAAGTATTGGATATAGAGAATTATCAGTATTACTCACTATTAAAATAATTATGGCCAAAATATCACAACAGTATTGGATGTAGTAATTAATTATTAAATGCATCATATTATATTCCGACTACGAGTTTTGCAGAGGATAATTCAATACGTTAGTGTCAAGCTGAAACGAAGATTAGGAAGTACTGATGGAGGGTTGTAGAGCTGATGTGCAAGAGATGTGGAAGTTGGAAGGGAGGTTGTGGTTGGATCTATTCTCGCTTGGTGGATGGTAAGTAGTGTATTGTTAGAAGGAAATAATAAGTTAGTCCATTAAGAGTTTGTAGAGTTATTAAGTGTTGACAATCAAGAGACCATGTTGGTGATAATATAGATCATTAAAGTTCTACGATCTCACACTTCTCAATCAATTATGGCAAAAATATCCTAACACACATAATGAGTTTTGCCACTGTAAGTTTTTTGTTTCTCTATTTTTCCGACTTCGTTTTCTAAGTCCTTCCTCGTTAGTGTCATGCGACAAGTTCCGTGTCTCTGTCATGAGGGTTGTTGAAAAGATCTCATTCTGCAGTGAGGGTGGGTTGTGGAAGGGGGGAACTTTTGTTAACTATTCACCCATCGTAATGGTCTGGTGGTTAGTCATGGTGTTCGTTGAGGAAAAATATGATTTTTAAATTCGAAATGTTTGATAACAAGGCCATGCTATGGTTATTGATTAGATCTGTAAGTTCTACAGACTCACAACAATATCTCATATTATTAAAAATTATCTTTGAATCAACAAAATATTATTTATTCATTTGTTTTTTTTATTTATTATTTTCGATTCTGTCCTAAAAATTCTTATACTCTTTCGCTTTAGTCTATCATCGGTGTACCGTAGTCCTTCCTTTCCTCTCATTTTATCAACACTTCCAATGTCTGTAGCAATAAACTCACTCTCAGGTTTTAGGGAAATCACTACAATTACCGAAAAGGACGGAAGGAAAACATTTTTATTTACTATGTTCATCAGTAAAATGGTAACCTGGTGTTTTCTATGTTATCGATCCAGGAAAATGAACTAAGATTGCCCAATTTTGCTAACAGGTTTATAATACATGAAAACTACGTGTTAATAATGTCAGCCGAGCCTTATACCTTTACATGTACTTGCAGAAATAATGGATGTTAATTTATATATTTTTATTATATAATTTTATTAACTTCTTATGTAATAGTATTATATTATTTAAACACATTGCTGTCTGTTAACTGGCCTTCAACGTAATTACGATCGAATCATGTAACAGAGCTTACTCATCAACTCAATAACCTTGTGGAAAATTGAACTTACATATAACCCACCAGGAGATTTTGATGGAACAAACCTGAACGTATTACGAAGATATTTCTTGATAGGTAAAATGTTAATTATTAAACAATTAGTGAAATGTAACTGGTTGAAGTTCTATCATAATATTACTTGATGGAAAAAAAGCCTTAAGTATTACGAACAAGTTTTGCTAGTGTAATAGATTAATTAATTCGTAAAGCAGGTTACATAATGGTACAGTGCCAAACTTTTACAATTACACGTAGTCTTATTAACAAACTATGGATCGTTAAGTTACGATCAGTGATGTCTTATTATAAATTTACTTTAACCATGTCTTGATGGGTAACAGAGCCTTGAACGTTATTACGAACACAGGAGATGTCTTGATGGGTAACAGAGCCTTGAACGTTATTACGAACACAGGATGTCTTGATGGGTAACAGTGCCTTGAACGTTATTACGAACACAGGTATGTCTTGATGGGTAACAGAGCCTTGAACGTTATTACGAACCAGGAGATGTCTTGATAGGTAACAGAGCCTTGAACGTTATTACGAACACAGTATGTCTTGATGGGTAACAGAGCCTTGAACGTTATTACGAACACAGGAGATGTCTTGATGGGTAACAGAGCCTTGAACGTTATTACGAACACAGGTTATGTCTTGATAGGTAACAGAGCCTTGAACGTTATTACGAACTCAGGAGATGTCTTGATAGGTAACAGAGCCTTGAACGTTATTACGAACACAGGTAATGTCTTGATGGGTAACAGTAGCCTTGAACGTTATTACGAACACAGGTAATGTCTTGATGGGTAACAGAGCCTTGAACGTTATTACGAACACAGGTTATGTCTTGATGGGTAACAGTGCCTTGAACGTTATTACGAACACAGGTAATGTCTTGATGGGTAACAGAGCCTTGAACGTTATTACGAACACAGGTAATGTCTTGATGGGTAACAGAGCCTTGAACGTTATTACGAACACAGGTTATGTCTTGATGGGTAACAGAGCCTTGAACGTTATTACGAACACAGGTTATGTCTTGATGGGTAACAGAGCCTTGAACGTTATTACGAACACAGGTTATGTCTTGATGGGTAACAGAGCCTTAAACGTTATTACGAACACAGGTTATGTCTTGATGGGTAACAGCCTTGAACGTTATTACGAACACAGGAGATGTCTTGATGGGTAACAGAGCCTTGAACGTTATTACGAACACAGGTAGTCTTGATGGGTAACAGTGCCTTGAACGTTATTACGAACACAGGAGATGTCTTGATGGGTAACAGAGCCTTGAACGTTATTACGAACACAGGTAATGTCTTGATGGGTAACAGAGCCTTGAACGTTATTACGAACACAGGTTATGTCTTGATGGGTAACAGTAGCCTTGAACGTTATTACGAACACAGGTTATGTCTTGATGGGTAACAGAGCCTTGAACGTTATTACGAACACAGGAGATGTCTTGATGGGTAACAGAACCTTGAACGTTATTACGAACACAGGTTATGTCTTGATGGGTAACAGCCTTGAACGTTATTACGAACACAGGAGATGTCTTGATGGGTAACAGAGCCTTGAACGTTATTACGAACACAGGAGATGTCTTGATGGGTAACAGAGCCTTGAACGTTATTACGAACACAGGAGATGTCTTGATGGGTAACAGAGCCTTGAACGTTATTACGAACACAGGTTATGTCTTGATGGGTAACAGAGCCTTGAACGTTATTACGAACACAGGAGATGTCTTGATGGGTAACAGAGCCTTGAACGTTATTACGAACACAGGTTATGTCTTGATGGGTAACAGTGCCTTGAACGTTATTACGAACACAGGTAATGTCTTGATGGGTAACAGAGCCTTGAACGTTATTACGAACACAGGTAATGTCTTGATGGGTAACAGAGCCTTGAACGTTATTACGAACACAGGTAATGTCTTGATGGGTAACAGAGCCTTGAACGTTATTACGAACACAGGTTATGTCTTGATGGGTAACAGAGCCTTGAACGTTATTACGAACACAGGAGATGTCTTGATGGGTAACAGAACCTTGAACGTTATTACGAACACAGGTTATGTCTTGATGGGTAACAGCCTTGAACGTTATTACGAACACAGGAGATGTCTTGATGGGTAACAGAGCCTTGAACGTTATTACGAACACAGGTTATGTCTTGATGGGTAACAGAGCCTTGAACGTTATTACGAACACAGGAGATGTCTTGATGGGTAACAGAGCCTTGAACGTTATTACGAACGCAGGAGATGTCTTGATGGGTAACAGAGCCTTGAACGTTATTACGAACACAGGTAATGTCTTGATGGGTAACAGAACCTTGAACGTTATTACGAACACAGGTTATGTCTTGATGGGTAACAGAGCCTTGAACGTTATTACGAACACAGGAGATGTCTTGATGGGTAACAGAGCCTTGAACGTTATTACGAACGCAGGAGATGTCTTGATGGGTAACAGAGACCTTGAACGTTATTACGAACACAGGAGATGTCTTGATGGGTAACAGAGCCTTGAACGTTATTACGAACGCAGGAGATGTCTTGATGGGTAACAGAGCCTTGAACGTTATTACGAACGCAGGAGATGTCTTGATGGGTAACAGAGCCTTGAACGTTATTACGAACACAGGAGATGTCTTGTGGGACTGTAATACCTGCTGGTAAATAAGTCAGTAAACTTCACAACTAGGTAGCGCAGGGACCATGTAAAACAGCTGAGATATATTCTTAATCCCCGTATTCCTTCACTAAACTTTATAAATATTAAGACTATGTACAGTGATTATTTTCAAGATATAATATATGAGGAAGTCTCTGTCAGGACAGTTTTCGACCAAGGGTAAAGAAAGACTACCTAGTCAGCTCGTAGAGATGACTAGGTAGTCTAGGTAGTTTCATAGAGTTGGTGGGCTGTCACGTGACTGGCTGGTGAACTATCAGTTAGCAAAAAAATACGGTCCAGATTGTTATACTCTTAACTGCAGGATCACTGGTTGGGAAGGCAAGCCAACATAGGTGTTTGACGTAAACATTGCATGCCACAAATGTTTTGGAGCTTCATGGGTGTATTATAAAAGTGCCTGATTCAGTTTTTTTTTTAAATCATGTTAATCCAATCAATAGAGAAGCCACAGTACACAAGTAATGGAATGGAATTTCGACGTGATGGTAGACACAATGAATTTACAACGATCCATA